CACTGTGGAGTTTTTAAACTCATACTCATTCCTAAGACAAGGCAGTGTATTTATGAGGGTAAGCACTTAGGCTTTTAATGATTTCTTAATCTGTTGTGTTCAGATGATGTATAGTGAGTTACATCACAAGAAATCACCTATGTGAGTGTGAAGTGAGGGCCGCTTCTATGAGAATTTTTCAAAGGCCGATTCTCTAAAACACTCGCAGAACCAGGCTGGTGTCCCACGGCCAAAATGGGCGCAACAAAGGACCAACGATGCTAGAGAAGCAATTGTGTGACTCCTATTGTCTAGGTATACACTAAAGGTTGACGGTTCAAGTCGACCTAGACCACCGATTGACCGAGTATATCCGATAGGTTTCCACTAGAGAAGGTTCAAAGGTAACTCCACCTATCTCGATGCAGTTGTTTCTCGTTGAGGAAATTACACTTTGCATTTATACTCTTGTGCATTTTTTGTCACGATGATTTGACTTTTTATCCATGTGGGGGATTGTTGGAATTTATATATATATATATATATATATATATATATATATTGTATAGACAATCTATTGGTTATGAATAAGAAGTTTGGTAGTGAAAAGGTGTGCCTTTTCGTCGACAAACAGATGTATCTTTTCATCCTAAAGGATGTGTTGTTTCATTCTAACGGACATGTTGTTTCATCGTAACGGACATGTTGTTTCATCCTTGAATGAGTGTCTTTTCGTGTTGAACGAACGTGTCTTTTCGTGTCGAACGAATGTGTCTTTTCGTGTCCAACGGATGTGTTGTTTCGTCGTCGAATAGGTGCCTTTTGGAACGTGACTTTACGTTGTCTATAAATAGACACTGACACCTTCAGAAAATGGTTCCAATTTTTCCTGCACTGAAACTCTGCCGGAATTTTTCTCCTTCCGATTTGCATATTCTTGTTCATACTCCGGTGTGATTTCCTCTGGCATTTTGTTGTGTTCGTTTGGGCTGTTGACTGGTAGTGCCGCCACTCTTCAGACGAAATCCGTTCTATCCTGGGAGACAAATGTCCATCAACCTTGGGCATAAGTGAGGGGGCAAATTGTCTTAAGGAGACACGTTCTGTGGGCTCGGATTTTATTCATCTGATACTGCACTTTTCATTCTTCTGACTCTGTCTGTTTCACACATATCAAGTAAGTCTGTTTTTAATATTTTTAATTACACAGTGATAATTCTGATCATCTACTCCCTTCTGGTTTATTCATGGGTTCAAGCCTCTTAGTGATTTAATATCACCCACTGTCTTCAATAACATGATGCACATCAAGCATTGCAATTTTATAATGGGGAAACAATGTATCCTCTCTATGTTGCACCGATACCGACTCGGGACACAATACGATACGATACTCCGACATATTAATTCTAAAAAAAATGATCAATTTAGGGTTTAGGATATAATTTGATATTAAATAAATTTTTTAATATATATATATAATATAGTTTATATTTAATACATATGGCAATCAATTTAAATTTTGAAACTTTCTCATGAAAAATGGTCAACAATTTTGGAAATAAAATTGAAAACAAAACAACTTTGGAGTGAATAACTTCATTCCTTAAAGGGAGAGGTTATACTCACTACATATTTTTCTTACTACTTGTTACTACTAAATCTTAACCGTTGATTTTCGTTAATCTGACGGTTGTAATTTATGGGATCATACTTATTAATTAATTATTAATTTGCAATAAATTATAACCGTTAGATTGACGAAAATCAACAGTTAAGATTTGTTAATAACAAATAGTAAGAAAAATAAGTAGTAAGTATAATTTTTTCCTTAAAAATACCAATTTCATTATAAAAAATCGAAGATATTTATATAAATTTAATAAAAATATTCAGTAATTTATTCAATTAATTTTAACGAGGTGGATGTGCGTGTGATTAGCGCTAACGATAATTCAATAAATCAAAAATAGAAAGATAAGGGCAAAATGGTCAAACAAGAAATATGGGTTGAACTTGAATCTTTTTGCTTTTGCTTCTTCAGCGTTGGAATGATTGACAAAGAAAAAGAAAGAGAAGAAAAGCATTCGCATGAAAATTGTAGATGAAAGGTATGAGATGTGATTCAATCTTCTTTCTCTTCTCGATCGAGTTCTACGATGAGTTGTAGAGTACCTTCTCAAAAGTGAAGTTACTCACCATAAGGAGAATAAAATCGACAAGGATGCTGATGGAAGGAAACAAACCTTGGATCGGACGAGAAGATGGTGCAGTGAGTTAGAGGTTGTCTTTTCTTTTAGAATTATTTTAATTTTATAAAATTTCAAAAATTTATATTTTTGTCTGTTGACCGTGTCAGACACTGTAAAAATTGCATGTCGAAATAGTTAACGTATCTCAAAATATTAACCGCGTGTTGGACGCATGTCAGAACGTGTTGAAGCAAGTCCGTGTCGATAATATTTTTCTTAAGAAATCACGTGTCGTGCTTTCCAGTAGGGGTGTTCATCAACCGATTCAAACCGCGGTGACCGAACCGAAAAACCCATAACCGAATAAACCGAAAACCGAAAAAACGAAAACCGATTAAAAACCGCAAATTTTAATTGGATTAGATCGATTTTTCGATGGGTTGATGAAAATCGATCCAATCCAAACTCATCCAATATATTAATTTCCCTCTACCTACTTGGGTATTTCCCTAATCATAGCCTAAAAATTTCTAAACCCAAGAAAAAATCTAGTCATATCTCATCAACAAAATTTTATCTTTGTAGAGCTTTATATCTCATTGCCAAAATTAAAAAAATTATATTATTGTTTACTAATGCTTTTGTATTTCAAAAAAAAAATTACAAAGCCAATATATACAAAAGATGTTATTTGCACAATAATCATGAAATAAATTTTAGGATTTTCAAAAAATCAAAAATCGATCCATTCCAAACCGAAAAAAATTGGATTGGATTGGATCGGATTTGAAAAAAAATCAAAACCGAATGGAGATCAAACCGAAGGGATTGGATCGGATGGTTTTTGCTTCCAAAACCGATCCAATTCAGATCACGAACACCCCTACTTTCCAGTATCCTCTACTAAGGAAGGGAAAATTAAGAAGGGGAGAGAGAAAAATGAAAAAAATAAGTAAAGGAGAAATGAGAGACATATAGACTTAGAACTGGCCCAAGGCTGACTAATTTACGTGTATGGGTTTCTCGGACGTATGTTTCTTAACCGGACTATGGTAAAGGATTGTAGCCCTATTTGATATTCTGGGCTTACTTAACTGGACTATGAAAAGCATGGTTGGACCATATTTAATGTATCATTGGGCCTATTTGAATCCTGTGGTTTATAGAGAACGGGCACCGTAACTTTAAGTCTTAGACTGATTGGTAGTGAAGCCCACGGTATCGAAATTATTTATTAGGAAATAGTCTATGAAGTCTCACTTTGAACTTTATATTTTTATAAATAAGTATTTCAAACTTTAACTTATTTCTAACTAAATAATATATTTTTAATCACATAATTATTAATTTACTAATAATAAATAAATCTTAACAATATATTTTATTGAATATCAATCCGTAATAGGTACTCTCGGACTGAACTGCGTTGCTGCAAAAGTTAGATACTGTATATTTCTACCATTCGATGTCAGATGAATGATTATATTTTGTCTTTTTATCGTTTGAACAATTTAAAAATCAGACAAATAAATTTTGTAATAATAATTTTCTTTTGATAAAATTTGTAATAATAAATTAACTAAAAGCTGAATCCACAGAAAAAAAGAATAAAGGTGAGAAATATATTATTTGACGGATGGAATTATTATAATAGCATTAAAAATTTAATAAATAATTGAAATTAAATTAAAATTTAGAGTACCTATTATTCTAGAAAAATAGTACATTAAGATATTTAATGCAATTTTTTCAAGAAAATATTTTCTCATCCTATAGGAGATTTCAGTCACCTTTTAATTTTCGTGTAAATTTTTTTTAATAGATATAAACCTCACAAAATATGTCTAGAAAATTAAAACCTACAAGGAGTGTTTGGTTAAGGTAAAACTTTTTTTACTAGGGAAATGTAATTACTAAGGATATGCAGGGAAAGTGAGTTAGATAGGAAAGTTTTAAAAAAATTGTTTGGTTGGCAAAATTTTACCAGAAAAATTTGAGTGAAATTCCTGAATGTGTGTTTGGTTGAAGATAAAATACTGATGGAAAAACTTATTGAAATTATATAATTATCTTTTAAAAATAACCCTATAGGACCAATTATCATTTTCACGTGTGTGGAGGTAATTGTGTTACCCTTTTGTACCACTTTTCACTTATCTGATTTTCCAAGACAAATACCACCTTCTATGATGCTTTCTGAAGCTGTCATTTTGTTGTTTTTTACATGCAAAACATGATAGCTTGGCAACTAGCTTTGATGAGTAAATTTGAAGATATCCGTGAACCAAACATGAACAATTGAATATGTGAAAATCACTTTGCTGAAAAACAATGAAAAACTCTTTAACCAAACAGCACCTATATTATTACATGGTAAATAGATCAGCACATGGAGTTTATTGGTTCCGCGTGACAAAAGAAAGAGAGAGACAGAGAATACGTGTATCCATCAAAATAAGCAGAGACCTTTAGAAGACACGTGTCACCGACCAGTGGCATTGAGATGGCATTGAGATATGTGCACACGTGGCTTGTACGTTGGGTAAAGAACCTTTGTTATTAAACAAAAATGTCTAAGAAGAGATATTAAATGAGATGATCACTGAAGTGGACGGTGCTATTTAAGCGCGACATTTTGAAGGAAGAATCCGATACTGTAGTGTGTCTCCTCTCTTGTCTCTCACGTGGACGTGGTCATGCTCCCATCTATCCCAAATTCAGAATCAGAACCTATTTAAGAAGAAGTAACTGTCCCTTCATTTCATGTACCTACATTAATCGTTTGCTTTCGTGACTCTCGAACGTTTTCCCACTCTACTTTTTCTACTCCTAATTCTATTTCCGTACGATTTTCTTTCTTCATCTTTCCCTGACAAATTAGATCGCTGAGATCAAAAGACAAACTAATGGGCAAGTTGTGGATCTTGATCACCCAACTTCATTCTCTTGCTGGGTATGCATGCAATCTATTCTACTTATTTTTGTGAAGGTATATAACTTGAATTACTAATTCATATATATTCCATATTTTGCAGGCCGGTGGCAACTTTATTGTACCCTTTGTGAGTATTACACACAAACATTCTAGCAGTATTGAAATAATTTTTTTACATAATATTGGAGATTTTGTGATTAAGTATTGACGAATCTCATTTTATTAATAAATAATTAAAAAAATGCCCTGTAAATGGTTCATTATAGTAACTTATAAACTTCAATTAATTAGTTTATCCTTTATATTATAATTACAGGTATGCATCGGTGGTAGCTATAGAGAGCACATCCAAGTTGGATGACGAGCAGTGGCTTGCTTATTGGATCATTTATTCGTTTCTCACCCTTATGGAAATGGTTCTCCAGCCCCTGTTAGAGTGGTTAGTTTGAGATTAATTTAATTTGAACCAACGAACGATAGATAAAATTTCTGATTGTTAATTTTTGCCTTTGAAATAAAATAATAAATGATGATGAACTTTACGGAATTTAGATTTGTATGTAGTGAAACATAAATTAAATTTGCAGGATGCCAATTTGGTATGATGTGAAACTATTGCTAGTGGCGTGGCTGGTTTTGCCGCAGTTCAAAGGTGCTGCTTTCTTGTATGAAAGGTTCGTGAGACAGAACATTCGGAAACACATAACGGACAAGAAGTCTCCCAACGGTGGCATTGCTAAGAACAAGTTCTTCGACTTCATCACAGCCAAGAAAGTGAGTTTAATGAATTTATTCATTTAACTTCTTTTAATGAAATTGAATTGAAATGAATTACTTAGATGGGTTTTAGATTTATCGATTTCTGATGCAATTTGTGACTGTGTTATATATGATGTTGAGAGAACAGGGGGATCATGATTCATAAGGCATACTGAATTGGAAGAACAGTGCTGAGGTGAATGCTGAGCAGTGGGTGGCTTTTGACAGAAGACGCGCGCGTTGTTCTTTGATTTTGGGATCAGCTTCAGCTTTCCTTTGGTTATTACTTAATTGTATTTTAATCTTTAACTTATGGCTTTTTAACAATTTCAAATCTTCATGTCGTTTGATCATATCATTATTAGCATGTTTCTTTCCTTACTTTTAGAAGAATTTTTTTTAGTAAAATCTCTTGAGAAAAATGTAAAAATTCAAAAAATGTTAATTTAAACACACATTATGTAATGTGATCCATTTTGTTCATATTTAATGTGTAATAAATTATCATGTCATAGCTAAGATGCTCGTTTAATTAGTAGATATATCTAGTACAAAATATAATAAATCAAAATGGTTGGGAGCTCAATTGGCTTAGCTGACTTATATTATTCATGCATGATCACCTAACTATTTTTTAGCTAAAATTCAACATCCGTTCCAACTTAGCCTCATATACAAGTAAACCCTAATTTCGTTCTCGTGATGGTTTGGTGGTTTTTGTCTTCCACCACCTCGAAAACCCTTGTTTTTTTTTTTTTGTCAAAAAATTTAGAGTGCTTTTGGTTTCTTTTTTATTTTTGGTGTTAATTATATGTCACCTTATTTTTTGTTTTCAAGAATTTGTAAAAAATAGTAAAATAACAAGAAACAGCGTAAAGGTAAATTGAATTTTTAATGATTATTAAAAAATATCAATTGAAAATTAAAATAAATATCAAACCAAAGTCACCCTCAAAAACTCAATTTAAGTACCTTCTTTCTTTTGGTTTATTTTCAATCACTTATGTTAATAACATAATGTTGTTTTGGACCAGTGACGATATACAGCCTATTTTAGGCAAGGTGGGCTGGATTCATATGACTTGGGTCGTGTCCTTTAGTCCATACAAATTTTATTAAATTAATATTTTAAAAATTAAAAGATTTATAAACCAAAAATACAAGAGATGAACTGATGATTGAAATATTTTAAAAAATAATAATACTAAGAGATGACTTTTATAGTAAGAAACAATTATATTTATATAATAAAATAACTAAATTACTTTTAAAAACTGAAAGATAAAATAATTATTTTTTATAATCAAGCTGATCTAGCCAAACTTGAATCCTATTTACTGAGCTCAAACTCAAACTATATTGGGACCCAACCCCAAAAGCTTGATTTCAATTAGGAGGGAGGATATTTTGACTATCAAAAGTTTCCACTACCACCTTACTACTTATCTAATCATCATTGGATTAATATTTTCTCTCTCTTCAAAAACTTTTTAACATTCTTTCTCTTTGATCCAATGGTGATTTGATAGGTAGTAAAGTAGTAGTGGACACTTTTAATAGTAAAAATATCTCCCCTCTTCGATTAATACCTTAATTTTGATGTTCAAATATAAATAAACTCTTTGGGGCCTGATAGTGGGGCCAGACGTATGTGGCCGTTGGAGCACGCGCGTCTAGTTGTGATCGTTCGGTTCTTCACTCTCCTTCACATGCTTTCTCTTTGAATCTTTTAGCTGATAATGCATCTCTTGCTTTTATGGTGTCTAGTACCTTTTTTTATTGTTTTTGAAAAGAAAAAAAATTACAGAGAAGAGATTATCAAAGGGTCAGCAAATGTCAAAAGTTTCTGCAATAATTTAATGGTATTTATAAATGACTTATTGTAAACATTACTAGCAAGAATTAGGTGTTGATTCCTTTTGTAATAACTTAATAATAATATTTGGAAATGATTTATTAAAATAAGATCACTTGCAATTAGGGATGACAAAACGAATTAAAAAATTCAACCCAATCTAACCCGAGCTGAGTAGTTGGCTCAAAAAAATGGGGAAAAAATTGCATTTGTCACACTCATCCAATACATATGATGGAAAAATTAAGGAAATAATTTTCATTTGATATAAGATATTTACTATAAAAAAAATACTTAATATAATCCCTACTTACTAGCCACTGGATATGCTAAATATAGCACATATGCATACTTAAGTGCTTGCATTTTTTATCAAACAGAAACTACAAGGTCTAATTAAACTAAGGGAAAAGTGTTTATCCTTTTAAATGACACAACTTATATCTTTTCACTCTCACAAAGAAGTGGGACCCACACCTTTATTTTTTTGTCAACTCTCTTTCTTCTCCTTTACCTATCTCTTTCTCTCTCTTGAAATGACACAACATTACATCCTTTAAAATGATACACACTTTACCCTTAAACTAAAGCATGATTTAGAATACAAGGATACCCTTGATTTACATTACATATAAAGTATCTATCTTTGAACAGATCTAGCCCCTTTATTATTCTTTTATATGTTTTTAATAAATAAAAAAGGGTTCATTTTTTTGCAGTCACTATAGATAAGTTATCTGCAATAAGTCCAATATAACGTTATTTTAGGACGTAAATCATGGTGTTTTTGTAATTTTAATTTATTTTAGGGTTATTATAGTCTTTATAATTATAATTTTTTAATATTTGAATCCCAAAATGACGTCATTTTAGAAGTAAATGCAGATAATTTGTTTCCAATAACTGCAGAAATATCTTTCTGATAAAAAAAAAGATTAACTCACGAACTGACCCGTTTGACTCGCAAGTTAATTTGATTTTTTTTGAGCTGCCTCGAGTCGGATTAACTCAGTTTGTTAGCTCATTTTTATTAATCCAACCTAACTCATTTTTATCATTCCTACTTGCAATAATAGTCTTAGCTCCTTTCGGAAAAAATTTAAGGTATCACGGTGGTACTATTTATTTAATAGGGAACACCAATTAAAAATAAAGAGAAAAGATTAAAGTGAGATGAAAAAGATAAAAAATAAAAAAATAAATTCAAATAACAAATTTTGAAAGAAAATCATATGTGCCACCGTGGCACCAAAAGTTTGCTCCTCCTTTCGGTACCTCGCTTTTTTCGCTGAAGATAATCCACTTAAATAACAATTGGTACTTAAGCATTTTATAATATAATTTTGTCTTCTTGATTCATTTTAGGGAAATGATAGTCTCATGATACATAAGATATCTATCTCATGTCATACACCCATAGAATTTTGTGCCAATCTTTTTCTTTTTTTTTCTTTTCTTTTTAAATTGTGGACCCCACATATTTGTATCACCCACGTGAGATAGTACTCTCATGTAACATGAGATTAATAAACCCCTTCATTTTATAGTTGGTTTAAGAGGATAACGTGGCTTATACCTTATTTCGTTATCTTACTTTACTTACAACAAATGATTGAAAAGAATAATTTTAAGTTCAATTTATTGTAAAAGAATATCAAAAATAAAAAAAAACAAAAGACCTGAATTTTACAAAATTTGTAAGTTGAATTAATAAAATAGAAGTTCAAATATTTTTTTTTTTATAGAATAATACTTATAATCTCATACAAATTATTAAGTTTCTCAGTAGCTCACTACTAATATTTTAGGTTTAATATATTTTAACTCATTATGGTTCAATATAAAATGAGACTAGTAGTCAAACTTGAAAAAGTTAATCCAAAGAATTTCTCTTTTTTAAGTTTATCTAAATGTTCTTAATATATATAGTTTAAGTAAATACAAATTAATTTTACTTAAAAAAGAAAATCAAAGGAAGAAAAGGATACAAATCAAAGGAAAAAAGAGAGAGGAAAAGATTGGAAGAAATCGAAAGGAAAAGAAAGGCATGGTAATTATATGAAATGATATTAACGGAAACCAGCATTTTTCTTTGGGAACATTTGATAGAAGAGAAATTTTTTTTTTACTAGAGAAATATAATTACTAGGGAAATAGTAAAAAAATCAGTTTGATGAAAAAAATTTAAAAAAAGATGTTTGGTTGACCGAAATATTACCGGAGAAATTTATTTAAATTTGCAAAATCTATGTTCGAGTGAAACTTCACACATGTTTTTTCACTTCCCCAATTATCTTAAAATACCACATCTCAAGTGGTATTTTGTAATAGTGAATTTCACCCAAAATTTAATACCAAAATCATTTCTTAGCCTTCCTATTTGCCTAGTAATTTTTTTAAAAAACTTAAACTAAACGTGATATTTTCTAATATCTATCCACAGTTCCTCATCAAATCCAAAATAAAATTTATACCAAACACACTTTTAAAGAATCATACCATAATGTAAAACTCTCAGATAAAGGATGTTGTTTACTTAAAACTTTTCTTTATTCTCCTTTCTTTTCTTCTGCCAAAACATAGCCTCATGATTTTGCTTTTCTTCTCTATGGTCTATGTTTTTCTTTTCTTGAAGGGGAGGCCAGGTCCCAGTAGTACCCGCCATCCAAATTGCTTTTTGCAAACTTTTGCGAATCACTATAAAAAAATGCCCCACCACATATCTGAAGAACCCTTGGCCCTTTGGACTGACTAATAAAGCTAATAAGATGACTAAGCTATTTAGCAGATACTCAAAACGCTTGATAATATATTGTTTTCTTCCTCAATCAGGTTTGATTAATAAACACATGATTATATCTACAATTTTATTTCATAATGCTGGAGTTACCGTTGCCATGCATGCGCAGGTGTTGAAGGTGATATGATATCTACAATTACAAGCTTTTTGAAAATCGGAACAAAGTGGAGATTACTTTATCAAAATTGACACTAAACGCTAAGCATACCACAAAATAATATCATTTATATCTTTTAACCAAATTATAGAAATTTAAACTGAGGTGCTGAATGATCATCTATTCATCTTGCCCTCCTTTTAAAATTAATTTATCATTTGTCCTATTTTCTAATTATACATCAATATTGTTAGAAATATTTAAATGTGATAGTAGTAAAATTCCACATCGATTAGAAATAAATCAATTGAAGATGACCTGGAAAAGATCCAAAGACCTATAGCTTTAATATATTAGGTTGAGATGTGATGTCAGTCCGTAAATTAGAAATAAATTAATTGATAACCTAAGTAAGCTATTATTTGGGATCATGTCAATGACCAATGTTTTAACTTTATATAATTTGGTTAAATGCTATTATTTTGTGGTATGCTTTGGGTGAAATATGGCATCGTATTTAAGCACCTCGTGAGAGTTTATCTTAAACGAAATACTCAACCAAATATTTTCATTATTATTTGGGGTTTGCATTTGTCATTTAACATGACACAACAAATTTTTCTACACACATAACATTTTGTGGGGTCCACTCTTTTTGAAGAAAAAAAGAAAATTACAGCACGCAAAACGAATCTTTATAACATTACATAATCACTTTTCTTAAACATAACTCTTATAAAACTTTATTATTTACATCTAATTTGTGTAAATGGGGTGAGCAAAAATTAAAGAAACTTTTGTTCTCTTGTTAACTCTGAAGTAGCCATTAACAAGTGTAATTAAACCGTGAAAACCTAAGTAAGCTACCGCCATTAAATCCTTATCAGATCATCGCTCACAAAATATTAAATATGCTTCTTCTATGCCATTGGCTTAAACAGTTAACCCTGATTCTCATGAATAAATTATTCTCTGTTCCACTCAATAATGAGGCTTCTGCTAGAAGCAATGTAAAAGAAAAAGCTAAAGAAATTCTTTATCGAAATCTATCCCACTTCTCAGTGAGCACACAGAAAGTAAAAAAGATATACCAAGGCTTTCTACCAGAGATTCTGTTGCCAATCCATAGCAGTCAAAACGTTTTCTTTTCATAATGGAATGTTGGGGCAAAACAAATTACAAATGGTAGGGTCAATATTGTTTGGCACCCAAAGTTCCACATTTTTGTTGTGGAATCACAATCAGAGAAGCAATGAAAACTATTTGATTGGTGATTTTTTGTTAGCAAACACTATTTTTAAGTTATCACAGAACATAATAATTATATAAGATTGTCCCAATGAGATGAACCATAAGAACTGACCTCATACAATTAGGTGAAAAAAAGAAAATAATATTGAAAATAGACTCAAACAAAAATGGAGGGTGAAAGATTAAAATTTGAACTGAAAAAGGGGCCAATAATCGCCACGCAACCATGTCCCATGGCTTTTGAAAAAGTTGATAATTCCTTGTCAAATAATTATAAAGTAGTATGTGAATAATTCTACTAATCAGCCTCTTTCCTCAATCTATATAACGTGGTGTTTCTTAAGCTCTTAGTTCAGTAAGATAAATTCTTTCCATATTCTCTAAGCCTACCTAAACACCCTAATTCTTTAAAGGCAACTTGAGCCTAATGGATCCTTCTCAGATCAAGAAGATTCAAGCCATGAACAAGTACAAGAAGCGTCAATTCCTGGATAATTTGTATTTCTATTTCTTGACAGCCTTAACTTGCAGTCTATTCTGTTGTATCACTCTCTGCCTACCCTACCTTTCTTCTCTGGTCAGGGTCTTTTTCTTGGTGTGCTTCTCAAGTTTAATACCATTCCTGTTGAGCTCAAAGCTCTTATTCATCATAGGCAACCTCATCATTTTTGTCCTTGTAGTAAACTCCAGATTACTTACTTCGGGTTCCTCTTCAACTTCTGAGGTTTACTATGAAGAGTACATTAAGAGCAAACAAACAAAAAAGCTTCAGATTCAAACCCTTGAGATCAACAAAGCTAAAACATTTGAGAAACATGTTGCAGAGAATGTGGACATGACAGGAGTGGGTGGACTGAACAAACTGGACTTAAAGGGCAAAGGGTGGGTTAAGAAAGCTACAGAAGATTGGCCAGCCAAAGAGGAGAACAATCTAGATGGAGAAGACCAACAAAGTTTGTTTTCTTCTTCTGATGAATTGAACAAAAGGGCTGATGATTTCATTGCAAGAGTCAACAGGCAGAGGAGGCTTGAACTTAGCCTTATGCAATATGGTAGTTATTAAATTGTACAAGAGTTTTCTAGCAATAATGCCTCTGTAAGATGCAGGTTAACAGAGTCATTGATGGAAAAATAAAAATCATTATTAAGTGCTTAATGGTAGAGTTAACAAGTTTTGATCAAAATCTTATCTTATCAAACAAAAATAGTCTTGTTCGGTCCAGGAAATACCGTATAGTATGCACTCAGAGATATTGTATAATCAGATTTATATTAAGTTTATAGTCGATATTTCAATCACTGCGCACAAACAATAGGCTTATAGCCAAGATGTGAGTGTGTGCACAGTGTTGGCAATAATAGTAAATAGGTTAAAAGTGTGTACTTGGAGTCCTTAGGCTCTTATTTATAAGGATTACCTTCTTAGGCCTGGGTCTTTTGAGATCTCTGAGATTGCATTAGCATTCAGCTTCCTTTCTGTTGGGATGAGATCATTATCTTAAATGCTTTGACTGCTCAATGTTGTTGAGATACTCATGTATCTATCTCTTAGTAAATTTTTAAGTGAGTAGTTGAGATATAATATTCATGTGCATAACAAGTCTAATATCTGATTTATGGATCTAAGCAATGAATATGATTATCCGAAAAATACTTCACTGGTAAGTAAACTACGTACTTCCCACTTGTACGTAAACATGTACACGTGCTAATTTGCAAAAATAAGAACAACAACTTGCCATCTAGCCATTTAATTTATGGGTTTTACTTTTCTCATGTTGTAGGAGAGAAGTTATCTCATGTTGTGAGATAAATTAAGTGGAGCCCACTAATTTTAAAAAAAAGAAAAAGAAAAGAAAAGAGATGCACGTCTTTTTATGTGAGTGTAAAATGAGAGAGTAATATTATGCAACATAAGAGTATAATTTCCCTTAATTTATTTGTCCAGAATTTTTAAATGAACGTCAGCTGAGGACTGAGGCTTCTCCGCATCTTCGAATCAGGGGGCAATTCTCCGACTTTAAACACAACGTGGGCCTTTGTTGATTGATATAAAGGAAAGGTTATCTTAACATGTATGAGATTTTTATTTTTTTAATTCTATTACACTAATTATTCCTTTTAACGAGTCAGGTATGTCACTCGCACAAGTATAACATAACGAATTAAGCGACGTCACAATTATTGAGTTCTCTGCCCAAATATTTTTTCAATATTTGAATACTTACTTTTTTGATTCGACCCTGATATTCATGTTAATACTTGAGCCAACCTCAGTTACGAGAACTTCAGAGCATACAAATGGAGATTGTTGTGTATAAGGGTAGGTTAAGATCCTTAATCTAGATTTTGTATCGCGTTGGTTCAATCTAGTATGTCAGACATCAATATGCCAATACTTTTCTAAAAAATCATTCAGGCCCCATAAACCAACACAGACTTCATAGATAGCCCAAGTTTTTTTAGTAACTGATAAATTGTACAAAAGGAAATTGTTTCCATTAATTCTCTATCGTATGAAGTGAATATGAATACAAATAAATAGGCCTATGGCTGTTCCTGATGGGTGCAACTACTTCCTAAATATATGCAACAGCTAAGATGCTACTATCCTAGAATACATCAGATAACAAAATAAGCTAGGAAAAAAGTATCCTAACAAACTAAGATAACAACCAATCTACAACTAATAACAATCAGATCAGATCGAATCTTCTATTCCAACACTCCCCCTCAAGTTGGAGCATGAAGATATGAAATGCCTAACTTGGGAAGGAAAGCCATAAAGGAAGCGCGTCCAAGTGCCTTTGTGAAAATATCCGCAAGTTGGAACTGAGATCGAACAAAAATAGTACGGATAGTCTTGGATAACAACCGTTCCCGGACAAAGTGGCAGTCAATTTCAATGTGTTTGGTGCGCTCATGAAACACAGGGTTGGCTGCAATGTGTAGAGCCGCTTGATTGTCACAACACAACTCCATTGGATCATCATGAAAAACATTAAGAGATGCAAGAAAGGACTTCAACCAAACTAATTCAGCCGTGGTGGTTGCCATGGAGCGGTATTCAGCTTCTGCCGAGGAGCGTGAGATGGTGAGCTGCTTCTTTGTTTTCCATGAGATAGGTGAATTTCCAAGCATAATAAAGAACCCAGAAACTGACCTACGAGTTAAAGGACAGCTGGCCCAATCGGAGTCACAAAAAGCATGAATTTTGAGATCACTCTTGGAAGGAAGGAGAATTCCTTGGCCAGGATTCATTTTGAGGTATCGTAATACTCTGATAGCAGCTTCATAATGCACTTCCTTCGGAGCTTGCAAGAACTGGGAGAGAATATGCACGGCATAGCTTAAATCAGGCCGAGTTATTGTAAGATAGACTAGCTTACCCACAATTCGTCTATAACGTCCCGGATCACCATAGGCAGGACCATCATCTAGAGCCAAACGATGATTTTGTTCAATTGGGAACTGAACTGGTTTACAATCCAACAAACCAGTTTCTTTGAGAATATCCAACGCGTATTTACGTTGACACAAGAAAATACCGTCATCATGACGAGCAACTTCGATGCCTAAAAAATATTTCAACTGGCCTAAGTCCTTAATTTTGAAGCATTTGTTAAGATAAGCTTTAGCCTCTTGACATGCCTGTGAATCATTCCCTGCCAACACCAAATCGTCAACGTAGATCAAAATGGCTAAGAAACAAGGACCACGCTGCAAAGTGAATAAAGTGTGATCTGCTGCAGATTGAATAAAACCATATTGGACAAGAGAAGTGCTTAGTTTTGCAAACCAATTTCTGGGAGACTGTCGCAAACCATATAAGGACTTTTGTAGGCGACATACTTTGATTCCTTGCCCTTGATTAAAGCCAGCTGGGATGCGCATGTACACTTCTTCATCAAGATCGCCGTTAAGGAACGCGTTATGAACATCCATTTGATGTAAATACCAACCTTTTGCTGCTGCAACCGAGAGTAAAGTTCTAACACTCACCATTTTCGCTACTGGAGCATAAGTCTCAGTGAAATCCTCGCCTGGAATTTGGTGATTGCCTGCGATTACTAATCGGGCTTTGTAACGCTCGACGCTGCCATTTGAGTGATATTTAATTTTATAGACCCATTTACATGGAAGAGCATGCTTCCCAGCTGGTAACTCGGTGATAGCCCATGTATGATTTTCTTCTAGGGCTTGGATCTCTTGTGCCATGGCTTGACGCCATTCGACATTTGCCATAGCTTCTTTAAATGAGCGAGGTTCAGTTCCTGTGTCAATAGCAGCAACAAACATGCGATGTTTTGAAGAAAATTTGTTAGTGGTTACATAGTTTGCAATAGGGTACCGCATACCTGAGGTAGAAGTGGAAGAGGTGAGAGCAGGTGGTGGTGTATGTGTTGTGATCATATTACAGTTGTAGTCATTCAAGTATGATGGTGTCCGTCGTGTTCGTGCTGGACGATGAGACTCAGGTTGAGTTGTTTCTTCACTTCGGGGCCCCAAATCACAACTGGGATCTTCAGTTCTATGTACTAGAGTAGGTGCTGGATTTAGATTCCCTTGCATGGGATCAGGAGGTGATGGAGAATGCTCAAGGTGCTCAGAACTGCACTCTGTTGCACCACGCGTAGAACTCCCCCTAGCGTCGGGCTGTGCTTCAAGTACAGAACTTCGTGATGGATGATCAGGGACATGTGGAATCACTTCATTCGAATCTTCTTGAAGAGAAGAAGGCAATAAAGGACGCGGAGTAGGTAAGTCTGCCGCAATAAATGGAAACTCCTCCTCATGAAAGCTAACATCTCGTGAAACAAAAAATTCCTTAGTATCAAGGTCATAAACCTTCCAACCTTTCTGCCCATAAGGATAACCAATAAACATGCACCTTCTAGATCTTGGGCTGAACTTGTTTGCTGGTTTCGGTTGCGTCACCACGTAACATAAGCAACCAAATACCTTTAAGTTCCCATAGTCATCAGTGTACCCATACAGAATTTCATGAGGGGTCTTTCCATGAAGAACCTTGGTTGGAGTTCGATTAATTATGTGGGCAGCAGCCATGACACTTTCCCCCCAGAATTTAATAGGCAAGTTAGCTTGAAATAAAAGTGCTCTGGACACGTTTAAAATATGCCTGTGTTTTCTTTCTACTCGTCCATTTTGTTGTGGCGTATGGACACATGATTTCTGATGAAACACACCATTTTCAGTGAATAATTCAGCCATCTTATGAGAAGTAAATTCCGTGCCATTATCTGTCCGAACTGATTTAACCGTTGTATTAAACTGATTTTGCACCATTAGAAGGAATTTTCGCAGAAATAAATACGTTGCACTTTTATCATTCATTAAGCAAACCCATACAGCACGACTAAAGTCATCAACTATGGTTAAGAAGTAATAAGCACCCGAAGAAGAGGGAGTTCTATAAGGACCCCATATATCACAATGAATCAGATCAAATACTTTATTGCTTTTGCGATCACAAATAGGAAAAGAGGATCGAATTTGTTTGGCACGATAACAGACATCGCAAGCCTTTTTATTCATACTGCGAAATTGAAAACCTCTAGAAAAAGAGAGCATAGAAAGTGCTTCAGGTGATGCATGTCCCAACCGCTTGTGCCAAAGCTCTTGTGAATCATTTGAACGTGTTGTGAAGGCTGCTACTTGGCTTGGTCTCAACACATACACACCATCCTTTTGGTCACCCAATCCAATCTCCGTCCTCAGCTTGCGGTCCTGTAACACACAACAATCATGAGTAAACACCACATCAACGTTTTGTTGTCGTATCAATTGAGAAACTGATATCAGATTACACTTTAGATTAGGAACAAATAAAACGTTGGATAAAGAAAAATTGTCAAATAAAACAGATCCTTGTTGCTTTGCATAAGTGACAGCTCCATTAGGTAAAGCTATTGACAAAGGCTCAATGGTCGTAATGTTTGCAAATAAGTCCAGAATTCCTGTCATGTGGCGCGATGCCCCACTATCTATAAGCCAATGTGAATTTTTACCAATTAAATTTTCCTTCGATTGTTGAGGCTGATCAACCAGTGTGAGTAGTTTTGTTACTACATCTGGTGTCAAAACAGGAAAAGCATTTGCTTGCTCAGATGAGTCCTCTGTTTGTGCTGCGTTTGCAGCAAAAGGCTTTGCATAGGAACCTCCTTGTGAGTTGCGCCATCCCCCTTGTGAGTTACTTCTGTAACCACCAAAGCGGCCACGACCTCGCCCCCTTCTACCGTCGCGGCTGAGAGCTTCGCGCCCCTTGCCTTCGTCACGACCAGGGAATCCGAATGCTTGCCAGCAACGCGAGGCCTCGTGATTATTTCTGCCACAATGGATGCATG